GGGTTGGAGGGGGGCTTTACGGAGCTGCAGGTCCTTGAAGGGTGATACAGTTTGAAGCTGGAGGATCTCTATATAAATATCTGATAGCAGCTAGGTCCCCTAACTTTGAGCAGCTGTTGAAAGGGTAAAGTTTTAGTATATCAGTGGTTAGAAACATCATTATTACTTTAGGATTAGTTTAACACAAAGTCAGGGCTGACCCGGGACCATGGCTGTGAGTCACAGTGCGCAGCATGAAGGTCCTTTCACATCGGACGCAGCATGTGCTGCTAATGCTAACTGCTAACTAAAAGCAAAGGATCCAGAATTTGTTGCTGGCTGCTGGGCTCTGTGTGCAGCAGCTCTGTACCAGATGCACCTGTCGTTTCTATCTCTGACTTTATCTCCTCTGCAAGAGTTTCTGTTGTTTTCAAATGTTCTTCAAATGTTCAATAAAAACATGTATCGTTAATTCATAACCAGAAAGCTTTGTAACTATCCCCACTAGTGAAGACTGTGTCATTTTCACAACACTGAAGGAAAACGCTGGGCTGGCATGTAAAAGGACATTTATTCCCTCAGGACCTGAAGCTCCATAAAGCACCCCTCCAATAGCCAAACTCTGATTGGATAGTTAAATTTGTGATTGACATGACATTGACCAATCAGCTGAAAGGAAGAAAAATAGGGTCAAAATTTGTACGTGTAACTTGAAACTTGAGTGAAGACTTGACTAAGTCCAAACACAAATTCTTTTTACACATACAAAACTGATTTACAAGTTCAAAATATTTATGACCACATTTTGAGCCCATGAAAGACAGCTGCTGGAAACATGATGTGAAACATGTTCGCTTACGTAAAAGGTTCTGTTTGTGCTCTGAGGTCTCGCTGGAGAGGAGAACGTAGTCGGTTGCTCCGGGTGTTCTCTGTGCGCACAATCTCACACACACAGACGATGTTACATTGAAGTAAGGCTGTTCGATATATCTCGGATGACAAAATAAAAACATTTATCGTTTCATATTGTGCTATCGTTTGTTCCATGGTGTCGCAAAATAAACTTTGCGGCAATATTTGTTCATGGTTTTGACGGTCACTGTACTGTAAATGTTTAAAATTCTGTCCCGTGTAGACGGGAAAGGCAGCGTTGGCTCTGATGCCGCGTCGAAGCGTTTTCTTTCTCTGCGTCCATCTTTGTTTTACCGGCTTTCTCCCAGGTGCTGACACTCTAGCGACAAATGGCGCCATCTGCTGGCCTGAAAAAGCAACTGCTTTTATTACTCTTGTTTATAATAAAATCTCGATATTGCCAGAGTAAATATCACAACATTACGCTGTATGGAGTTTTATTAATCACCCCTGTGTGTCTGGAGGAAATGTCTGGACACCATGTGTAAAAAGTTGTTCAGCTTCTGGCTCCTGATTGGCCAGCCTCTGACTGCAATAGCCAATAGGAGCTCATCTTTGTTTGTTTACTTCAGACATGATTCGGCGCCGCAGCCTGAGAACAAGAGCCATCAAGATGCTGGTCCTGGACGAGGCAGACGAGATGCTCAACAAAGGTGAGCGCGTGTCACTTGAAGCAGGAACACACCTGAGAACTCTGTGATGTCACACCTTAACCACCAGACTGAAACACCTGTCCGGCGTCTAACTTCCTGTCGGCTTTCTGTGTCCAGGTTTCAAGGAGCAGATCTACGACGTGTACCGCTACCTGCCCCCCGCCACGCAGGTGGTCCTGATCAGTGCCACGCTGCCGCACGAGATCCTGGAGATGACCAACAAGTTCATGACCGACCCGATACGCATCCTCGTCAAACGGTCAGTTTGACGAGGATGCGTATCGGGTTTCTGGCAGAAATGTGGAGCTGAGATTATTCAGAGTGAAACCTGATCCCACCTTACTCTCACCCTCTCTCTCTGTATGTTGATGTCTCTCGGCCGCAGTGATGAGTTGACCTTGGAGGGGATAAAGCAGTTCTTTGTTGCCGTGGAGAGGGAGGAGTGGAAGTTCGACACACTGTGTGACCTTTATGACACGCTGACCATTACGCAGGCCGTCATCTTCTGCAACACCAAGAGGAAGGTCTGTGCACGTCCTCCTGTGTGAGCAGGTGTAGCGCATCAGAGCATCATGGGAAACGTAGTGTGTTTGTGTTTCAGGTGGACTGGCTGACAGAGAAGATGAGGGAGGCCAACTTCACGGTGTCATCGATGCACGGAGACATGCCGCAGAAGGAGAGAGAGTCCATCATGAAGGAGTTCAGATCAGGAGCCAGGTGAGCGGACCAGGACCAGGACCAGGACCAGATTCTGATTCAGAGACTGACCTCTGGGTTTTTGTGTTTCAGTCGTGTGCTGATCTCCACCGATGTCTGGGCTCGAGGCCTGGATGTTCCTCAGGTTTCACTCATCATCAACTATGATTTGCCCAACAACAGAGAGCTCTACATCCACAGGTATCCCTCCACACAAACTAGTCCCCACGTGTCCTTCCGCACCAGTCAGGGAGGAGACTTGAGCAGAGTGCTTTGGGGGAGGGGCTTAGACAGGTTTGGGTCCGGTGGTCCTTTGAGGAGAGCAGGGGGTGTTTATTCGTGACTAATGCTATGACCTCTGACCTCCTTCAGGATTGGCCGGTCGGGGCGTTATGGGCGTAAGGGTGTGGCCATCAACTTTGTGAAGAATGACGACATCCGCATCCTGCGAGACATCGAGCAGTATTACTCCACCCAGATCGACGAGATGCCCATGAACGGTACGAGGGAGCCAATCAGGGGCCTGCTGATGTCACTGTTCGCATGTTGTTGTTGTCGGTCTGATTCTGTTCACTGATTGGTTCACTGTTTTTCGCTCTGCAGTTGCTGATTTGATCTAACCTGGATGACATCACACCAGAGCCCCGCCCCTTCAATTCATTTTTTTCTTCCTGTTTGTTTTTTAATAGTTTTAGATTTATTTTTTTTTAATGTTGAGGTTAAATGACTGTAAGACGGCAGGTTTGTTTTTGTAAATAAAGTTTTGGTTCCAGATGTTAAGGTGGCGTGTCGTTACTATGAGCTCATCTGCAGCGACCAGTCAAAACTCCTAAAAGTAGTCACAGCCGTGAGGAGCAAGACTCTGTCAGGCTGGCTCCACCCCTCGAGTTAACCTGAGGTTTGTCTTTGGAGGTGAACCAGACGAGCGCTCCTTCAGCAGAGAGTGTTACAGCCACAGTGCGGAGCAACGCCCACTCGATGCTGCTGAACACACCTGTGTTATTACCACTCCCACCACAGCCTGTGTACATGTGAGGAAACCTGAGTGTATTTGCTGTGTGCAGCAACCACAAATAAATACTACAGTATTTGGGTGTTCTCTTTCTGACCTTGTGCTTTAGTAACATGTGTCTGATCACTTGTACAGTGGACAGGTGTTACCTGACTGTCACAACTGTCCCCAACCACGGCCACGGACCGGTATGTGAGTCGTTTGGCACTGGACGCAAGAGTTGAGGCCTGGGTGTGAAATTTAAATGGTAAATGGCCTGTATTTGTATAGCGCTTTTACTAGTCCTGCCTAGGGACCCCAAAGCACTTTACACACCCAGTCATCCACCAATTCACACACTGGTGGAGCCACAGCTGCCCTGAGGCAGACTGACAGAAGCGAGGCTGCCATATCGCGCCATCTGGCCAACACCAGTAGGTGGTAGGTGAAGTGTCTTGCCCAAGGACACAACGACCGAGACTGTCCGAGCCGGGGCTCGAACCGGCGACCTTCCAATTCACAAGGCGAACTCCCAACTCTTGAGCCACGATCGGCCTTCACAGCAGCAGGACAGAACACCTGATCAGGTGTATTCACATGAATCATTGATGACGATGCAGCTGCAGTAGCAAACGTACCGTTCACTGCGCTGCTCTCTGATTGGCTAATCAGGAGTTATCTTCTTCTTCTTTTTTTTTGTAAATATTAAACCTTATTAAGAAACAGCACACAGAACATGTATACAACCAGAACAAAATTAACATATGCCAGCGGGTGTAATACAAAGAATTACAAACATTCAAATAATTTGTAATTACTACAAATAGTAATAGTTTTCACAGCCTTTTGGTTAAGTGATCCACTAATCAATTTTATGTAACATAAAACATCATTACAGTAATGTTTAAAATTAGGGTTTTTGTTACTGTATTTGCATTTGTGAAAATAAAATTTAGCTAAGATAACTAACAAGTTTATTATAAAGTAAACATCTTCTTTTTTTTGCCTTCGAAAGAAACAAAATACAACATTTTCCCGTTTCACAGTAAAGTCTTTGTAGAGATGTCCAGCAATGAATCTACTGAAGTCTTTCCAAAATGTTCCAGCGTATGAACAGATCCAGAAGAGGTGCTGCACAGTCTCAGGATGGCTTCCACAAAATCCACAGCTCACATTTATGTCCCTTTTGAACTTTGTCATGTAAAGATTAGCAGGATAAAATTTGTGCCGTATTTTAAATGAGACTTCCTTCACTTTATTCGTTACAGATACTTGTTAGGAATTGTCCATACTTTTCCAGTTAATGTCACTGACAAAGGAATCCCAGTAAGAGACCACATGTGGGACAGTTAGAGATTCTGTCCTGAACAAAGCACGAATATTCTTATTACTTTTACTGTGGTTTGTTAGACAGATTCTTCCTATATGTGAGTTCTCTTCTTCTTTTGTAGTGTGTAGTGTGACGGTGACGTATTTCCGGTGCCGTCGTCGTGAAGCAGCTAGGCTGCCGAAAGCGGAAAAGAAGAAACGGTTTGTTGTTCTGTTTCACAGACGCGTCGATATCGGTGGTCTCACCTGGCGGACAGGTGAGTGCAGAACCTGGTAATACGAACCGGATCGAGCTAAGCGCTCTGACCGGGAGCTGAATATCGCGCTTAGCTTTTGCTAATTGAACTAGCTGTGCTAAGAGTGGCTCCGCGCTAGCCTTAGCACGGACCGGCCATTGATCAGTGGTCATGAGAATTTGCATAATTAAGATTAAGGACCTCCCAGCCCATTGTTCCTCAGTGGGCTGGTTTCAGTCATTATGCAAATGTCCTGTTTATAAGATTGAAACCTGCAGTCAGCTGAGACTGAAGACGTCACCTGGATGAGACACGAAACGTTTCTCCCACTGAAAACATCCAGATGAACAGAATCATGCATCAAGACGATGCAACATGTGGTACCCGGAGTGTGGAATATGTAAACAACTCTAACCAGTTAACCTGGAGCTCCGCCTCCGCTGTAGCCTGGCTCCGCCTCAGGTCAGGCCACGATGATGTGAAGGATGGGTACTTCACCCGAAAGAGTTTAGGTTAAAGGTTATGGTTTAGGGTTAACACAGGGTTCCTGTTATAGCATAATTGTGTTCTGAGTGCGTGCAGAACATGGTTATTACACGAGCCAATCATGGCTAGCTCTGATTGGTTGCAGTAGGCTTTTCTGGGTCACATGTTTCTGACAAATTCCTCATCTTTCTGCAGGAGTCGCATCCCCACCTCCTCTCAGCAGATTTTCTGCAGGTCGAAGGTCATGGCACTGATCTCTTTGGAGGATCTCGATGGATTGGATGACGAGCAGCTGGACGATGACATCACAGACAACCCCGAGCCAATGGATGAAGATGAGTCGGAGCGCCTGATGAGTCACTGGCAGGCTGTCGCCAGCACACACCAGGTGTCAGTTCCTCAAGGTCAGGGGGTGGGGCCAGTTTCTGTGTGATACAGGCACTGATTGATCAGGGGTTGATTGTTTATGTGCTTATTTCTGTACAAGGCCTCTGATTGATGCTCAGCATGGAGATGTTCAGGTGTTTTTTTTCACCTGTCATATTTCGCCCCAAAAAGGGGTATAGCCACTCAGAATGAAAACTTACCTGTCTGAGTGGCTCCGCCCCACCGTAGTGCTCTGATCCATGGTGGAGGCTTCGTGGTAGCCACTGCCGCCTCTCCTCAGCTGGTTGCTGTCTCACTTCAGTTCAGTTTTATTTACACAGCGCCAAATCACAACAACAGTCGCCTCAAGGAGCTTTATATTGTAAGGTCGACCCTACAATAATACATACAGAGAAAAACACCCAAACAATCATATGACCCCCTATGAGCAGCACTTTGGCGACAGTGGAAAGGAAAAACTCCCTTTTAACAGGAAGAAACCTCCGGCAGAACCAGGCTCAGGGAGGGGCGGGGCCATCTGCTGTGATTGGTTGGGGTGAGAGAAGGAAGACAGGATAAAGACATGCTGTGGAAGAGAGACAGAGGTTAATAACAGATATGATTCAATGCAGAGAGGTCTGTTAACACATAGTGAGTGAAGAAGGTGGTTAAATGATTACATCCTTAAAGTCCGTTACAGCACTTTCAGAAAAACATCTGCTGTGATGAAATCTTCACTGCTGTGTAATCAATTACTGCACAGAAAACAGAACTTCCTGTTCTGTTTTCCAGAAATGAGAGGACCCATACAGGAAATGACACGCAACAGCCAGCAGAGGGAGCCCCTCCCCTTCACACCCATCTCAAGCCACGAGAAGGTAAATACCCTGACCCTAAAACCTAACCCTGCCCCCTCTCCGTCAGTGCTGATGTGTGGTACCACCCACAGATGGGGGAGGTGCAGTACGAGGAGCGGCTGTACCCGGCGGGTCACTGGGCGTCCGTGACACGAGGAGACGACCTGTACGAGCAGAGCATCTCCATGGCCTTCATGAAGCTGATGCGCTTCATCTGCAAGGAGAATTCTGCAGGTCAGGCTACGCCCACCACCTGCCAGCCACACCGCACGCTTGCTTGACTGTTCAGTTTCGATCGATGCCTGCAGGTCACGTGATTGTGTTGTTGCTCATGTACAGGTAGATACCTGGGGATGACCGTACCCATCATCAGTTACATCCGTATGGCGAAGGACGGCAAGACATTTGAAAAGGATGTGGAGACGGCGTTTTTCCTTCCCGCCGCGCTCCAGCACAGCCCGCCGCAATCCTGCGACCCTGACATCAGCATCGTCTACAGACAGCCAATCAGAGTGGTCACCAGGTGAGAAGATCATTGCCACATTGGGGTTTGTGATGTGGGCGGGGTCACAGAAGACAACCTGAACAGGAAATGTGACATCAGACAATAATAATAACAACAACAATAACAATTAAATGATTGAAGCTGTAGAGGTTAAAGTGCAGCAGCGAGCTCAGCACTGATTGGCTGTTGTGGTCATACTTCAACCATCAGCAGACATGAAGAGGTGACAGGAAGTGACCCGTCAGATGGGGGTTTCGAATGCTGAAGCCCTTTCTCAATTCTCAAGTACGCAAGTCCAGACTTGCTGAGAATGCGAGCAGGACTCGAGCACGGACTCGACAAGCGTACTTGATGATGTCATCGGTCCGGCGTTTTTACTGCCTTCCCCTCTTAGTTTAACTGTGAGTAATATGTTATATAATAATAATGGATTGGATTGATATAGCGCTTTTCAAGGCACCCAAAGCGCTTTACAATGCCACTATTCATTCACTCTCACATTCACACACTGGTGGAGGCAGCTACAGGTGTAGCCACAGCTGCCCTGGGGCAGACTGACAGAAGCCAGGCTGCCATATCGCACCATCGGCCCCTCTGGCCAACACCAGTAGGCGGCAGGGTGAAGTGTCTTGCCCAAGGACACAACGACCAGGACAGAGAGCTCGGGGATTGAACCGGCGACCTTCCGGTTACAGATGCGCTTCCCAACCCCCTGAGCCACGGTCGCCCACAGTTATGAAGCTTAACTTTAATCTCAGCCAAACCGGTTTACTCAGGAACAAATAACAACAACAACAAATAAACAAATAAAACATAGCATGTTTAAGTGATCTAAGAGACTTATCTATCATGTTTAACCCGAGTAGTGAAAGACCATGGGGGGTTGAAAACGATGTGCTGGGAGTCCGCTGTTCTCGCCGGCTATAGTGATCCTCGACCTCCCGGTCTGCTACGGAGCTGGCGGGTCACAGACGTCTGAAAATGTCAGAGCGCGTTTGGACAAATGCATATCTTGATAAATCGAGCAGATATTTGACGTTTACGCAGCTACATTCTAGTTTATTTTGTGACCCCGAAAGAGATGGTCCTTTTAGCCGCGTTTGAGTTTTGGACGAAATGCATTCTGGGATATTTTGCTGTACCAAATACACAGAAGTCACCACTGATGCACGCTCGATAAAACAGGCGAAGCGAGAACACATCCGGGAATTTTTCGCGTCCTCGGCTTGATGCGTAGTTTGAATTGGAACGGTACCTGGTCTCCGACTGACGACGTATCACCGGTGCAACAACACACAAGTACGAATATTGAGACAGGCCCTGAGTCATCAGATCGTGGGCCGGGCGTGCGTCGGGTTTCGTGTCAAATTAACGACTCTGCTTTCTGATTGGGTGCAGGCCGTTCTTCGGGACGACCACGGAGGAGACGGTAGGCCGCCAGATCCTGCTGCTGTGGGAGATTCTCGGCGCCACTGATGAGCTGCACAGCGATCGGTACGCCGTGGCCGTGTACGAGAACCCGGGTGTGCCGCGACGCCGGAACGAGCTCTGGTTCATCAGGCGTGATCTTTAGGCTCCTCCCATCATGCTCTATTTCAGCACGTCCACTCACAGCTTCCTGTCAAACTGACATCAGAGCAGTCATCTGTTATGAGGACACTAAGCCCCACCCTTTCTATTAGCTCACACTTCACAGGTCTGTTCTGATTGGCTGGAGCAAGGTGATGATGCCATAAGGGCTGATTGTGATTGGTTTGTTGGTTTACTTACATCGTGTAACATTTATTTACAGACAAAAAGGAGGCTCTGCCCGCATCTTTTCAGTAATGCAATCATCATCGGTGATGTAATCGTGACCGCTGCTATGGCGTCCATTCGCATCTCTTTGAATTTCTGCAAAACAGGAAGTGACATGGTGTCGGTACCAGCACTTCCAGTTTAGTCTGATTGTAGCAACCAATCAGCTGAAAAAGCCATCTGAAAAGGAACCCCTCCCCCCGGTGCTGTCTAAAGACTGAGGTATTGATCACATGATCAGCGGCAGCCTGAAACCTTAACACATGTGGTCGAGTGCGGCGAGCCCGAAGGTCTCATACATGTCATCGCCAGAGGGGGGAGGGGTCACGGGTCAGTATGTTTTTTTTATGCGCCGACATCACCAGTGCGTTCAGATGATTCCTCTAAATCATTCAAGCACATCACACGTCACATGACTCCTTCAGACATCCTGCCGTCTCGCATGTGGTTCCTCGCAGGACTGTGATGTCACTGTGATGTCAAAGGTTTTGAATGTTGTGTAGATTTTGTGTGTTGTTGTTTTTCCTGCTTTGTGTAAAAATCTTGAAATAAAATGTTTGATTTCAAAAACGTTTGACTTGTTCTCTGACTCGGCAGCTCTGATTGGTTCTCACTGGCACCTCCGTTTATGAAGCCACTGCTTCTTACGCTTCGATGGTTTCAGTTTCCCATTGGCCTGCAGGTGGCGCTGTGTGGGTCCAACAGCGACGCTCACTTTGATACTGAAAAATGCTTCGAACGATGGCAACGCCGAGTGAAACGCTTTCCTGTGTTTGTTCTTTTGGATAAACTTTATTTCCACCAGCTTCTTTTACATAGTTTCTTTTTTTCTAGTTTCAATCCTGTGTCGCTTTTAGTGTGTGGGAGGGGCTGAGAGGAGTCTTGCTGCTGGCTTTGCCGATGTTTGGAGTCCAGGCGGAGCTCCTGAGCAGCAGGTTAGATTTGTTTGGTCGTCTCTGTTGTCACTCGATAAGAAGTTGACAGAAGTGATGCACTGCGATTTTCAATGACATCAGTTTTTGAGGTCGTTCTTGAACGCACGCGACCCGTTCCTGTAAGTCTGCAGGTGCTCATACCTTTACTTTCACTGAGAAATTGGGGACTTATGAGGGATCAGAGAACAACAGTGTGGAAAGTCGTTCCCAGAGTATGCAAGGCCACTTGAGTTTTGAGAAGGCAGTGAACTTCCCAGATGCTGCAACCCACCATGTGAATATGGGAAGGAGTCACAGGCTGCATGGACGGTTATGTATTCCCATAAAACGTGCCTCCACCCCAGATGCTGAGGAATGACAACCACTGGCTTTCCATTAATGTCCAAGGTGTGTGCACTCCCCAGTTACAGTTTCCAATATTGTTGCATTTTGGAAAGGTGCCACTAAAGATCATTGGGTTTGACTGACCTCATCACTGCGCGCTCAGAGGAGATCACGATGGATTGTTGCTTGGTGACAGTGCGTCACCCACCTGAGCAAAGGTGCGCACCAGGGCTCTAGTGGAGTGTGTTTGATGGAGTCGTTTCCAGTCCCTAAGAATACGCTTCGATTCACGCCAAAAAGATGCTGCATCATCACATTACCACCGCCGTTCTTCATGACTCCCTGAAAGAGCACGCATGCCCACACCCTCCAACACTGCACCTTCAGTTCCAACCAACCACAGACAAGGACCTGCTTACAGAGATGTAAGCCGCCGAAACGCCACGTTCTGCTTTAATACACATTTTCACACGTCGTGGTCAAATGACTGCATTCTGTATTTGTGTCCACTATATGAAAGAGTCACATGACAGGATGTAACACTTTTTAATTCATTGCAGAAATATTGAAATAAAAGGTGGAAGTGAGTGAGTCGGTCTCAGCAGCATAGATTTACATCACTGTGAACTCTTTAACCAGCTGCCGTTTATGCGACGATCACACGCGTGTGAACGTGATCATAATTTCACACAGATGACACAGACGCAGGGATTGCTGACAGCAGCACACTTATATTCGCATTAAGTTGTTTAATGATGCGATTTAGCAGTTTCACAAACATCGTGGAACTCATAAACAGCGTTAGCTTTTTGCTAATGTTTGTGATGTTTGTAGCTGTGACATCGTCGCCTTTGTTCATGAGCTCGAGAAGCTGCAGCCGCCTGTCCGGCGCTCGAAGCTGCTCCTGTGCAGGCAGATCCTACCTGTGCTGTGTGTCTGTGTGAAACAGAGTGAAATTGATCTAAACGTGAACCCTTGATGTCTGCAGTCTAAGATGGAGGTCAAATTTCCGCCGCCCCCCGCCCCCTCTGAGGCAGGCAGGGGTCAGAGGTCAGCAGAAGAAATGTGACGGAGACCTGAGCCTGGGACACTCAGAGGAAATGTCAGTGTCCATTTAAAACGCTGCCTCCACCTTTTTCACCGTTAGCAACGCGAGTCTTTAAATTTTCATCAGTGCCCCGCCCGCCCGAGCGGCGTGATCAATTATTCAGGCAGCGCTGAGGTCGACACTCTCACAGAGGAGACGCTGCAGAAAACTCCCTTAAACTCAAACCGGCTCCATCTGTACCTTCACCATCACAGCTCACCTCCGGGATCAAATGACCCACTGTGACCTCACTTCCTGAAACGCTTCAGCTTGCTCCTCGTCCTCGTCTTCATCCTGGGCCTAAAGCGTGTTCAGCCTCCACCTGCTCCTGTTCAAGCAGGTGATGGAGGTGTGTGTGGGGGGGAGTGTCACATGATTCCTTCAGTCGCTGAGCTGCACTCACGAGGTTTCATCAGCAGCTGCGGAGGCTGCTGATTGGTCGGCTGATGCTGAGTCAGCTGCTCCTCATCCTCACCGCAGCGCTGCTCAGAGATTTGGGATTACAGACCTGCACTTTTATTACATGTGGTTGAATTCCTGATGTCACTCCTTGTAAATAAAGTCTGGTCGGCCTCACCCCAGATTCCACGTTTCGGCTCTAACCCGTGGCGGGTTTAGAGCCGTGTTTTTATTGGCTGCTGCTTGTCAGAGTGCCTGACGCTCGCTGCGTGGAGGCGTTGCCGAGCGCCTCGGGTAGACAAACATGAAGCGACAGCTGCGGAGGAAGATCTACCTGAAGGTCACCTCAGACAGTTCGTGTGTCATCAGAGCTCATCTTCATCATCCTGTCGAAGAGTTCAGACACTCGACGTGTTTTCATCCCCTGGCGTCCAGAGTCTATGCCTCGCTCTGATTGGTCAGCTGTTTATAAGTCAAAGATTAAAACAAAGGTCATTTTTCAGTTCTAGGATCGTCAGCGTGACGCTACGCTTGCCATCTCTTTGCCGCGGACAACCTAAACCAGCAAAGTGCAGGTTTAGTTACCCACGATGCATCAGGAAAAGTGGTCGTCTTTGTCACCCTGAAAAGTGATGAAACACGCCGGTGACCTCTGGAACAACCTTTAGCGCTCCAATCATAGCAGCACCAAAGCGCTGACTGACAGCCTCGTGGTCACAGCGGCGCTGACACCTGAACATATGAACCGAAGAACTTCAGATTTGTGAAACGACCTCTTTCAGCGGGCGAAGACGTTAAAAACAGAAACATGAAGCCAAGCATCTCAAGGTGAAAGGGTTAAACGCCGCCGCGTTGAATCTTTCTGCTCCGTGATTTTCTCTGTGTTTCATCAGAGTTTCATCACATTAAAGGGACACGCACGCAGGCCCACTTCCTGCTTCTCACGCGACTGTGGCCTCAGCAGCTGAGGACAAGGCCCCGCCCCCTCCTTCCTGACCAGAGGCGTGCAGTCACCCTGCAGTTTAAAGCGGTTTACATCGTTATCTGCCTGTAGGGAGTCTGAACTCGGCTCCTTGCTCTATGTGGAGGTGGTGGGGAGGAGGCAGCATCATGGCAGGCAGCGGCACGGGGGTGGAGGTGCCTCAGGTCACCCCGAGGCCCGCCGCTGAGGTTTAATGAGGCCGACAGCCGAGCACCGGTTTCAGCCGGCCTCATTAAAGCGGGAGAACAAACCGATCTTAATGAGGAGAACATGAAGGCGCGTGGGTGTTGTCATGGCAACAGGGACAGCTGAGGATGGAGATGGAGTCTCGTTACTGAGCTGAGGTCAAAGACGCTGATGAGCTGTAACTAACAGGCTCCTCATGGTCACATGACCAACAAGCATCACCTGAGGAAGCGTGGGCCGGGCTCCGGTGCCCGCAGGCTGAGCGTGCGTCCCATCGACCCGCAGCAGCTGATCTGAGTGATATTTGAGCGATTAGCTCTTTGACACCAAACTGAGCTTCGCTCGTCTTCATCGAAACGGCGTCAGGAGCGGGGGCGTTCAGAGTATTCATCCATAAAGAAAATGGCAGCACGTCAGGTTGAGCCTGCGTCTGCAGCGGCGCGGTGTGAGCAGGTGTTCGTTCTGCAGAACAACAAAGTTTTAAATGAAGAGCAAAGTTTAGATTATGGAAACGAACATGAATTTACAAAAGTACTCGAGTACTCCCCCTTCCCCCGTTACAGAGGCATCATTTATATTTTGACATCATTTGGACATTTGTGTGTGTGTGTCTGTTGTGTGTGTGTGTCTGATGTGTGTGTGTGTCTG